CCTGTCGTTGTCAGCTTCACGTGTGCTGCCCGCACAACAGATTGAAGTTCGGAACGCAGTGAACTGTAGATCCTATGCTGCTTACCATTTACGTTGACCTTCTGCGTCCACACGAACTCGAGCCACATCATGGTACAGAATGCCAATGTTCCTTGGAGGCCAGCCTCTTCCTTCTGACGCATGTCCTGCACACAGTCTTAGTCTGAGTCCGCAGCAATGAGCGGTGAGTCTGTGATGAGTACATGAGTACATGAGTGCATCAGGCATGAGGTTGCTGTCACATGACTATCATGACTGCCACATGCCGTGTGCACGACGACGCACGTCCTTGGCACACCCTCCCTCCCCCCCCCAAACGCCACCGACAACAGGCAGACCACAGGCACTAGCTAATGTTATTGCTAAAGCCAACGTGTCAGTAGCTGGGCATGCCGTGATCTGACCTGAATGTGTCACATTTTACAGGGCGATGTGGCTCAATGTGTCACATTTCACAAGGCGATGTGGCACTGCACTGCAGTACACTGCTTTGCACAACATGCTGGAACGCAGATACAGAGTCGCGAGCCACGTATGATGCGTCGTCGTTTATCATCTGTTGTGTCTATTGCTATATCACACTGTCCGAGTCCACTGACCGACACGGTCCCTGTGTCACAGCACCAGTGATGGAACGCACGAGACAGTTCCACTGTCCACGCAGGTCGCACCGTACACAGTGCACGGCACATCACACATGGTTCCCGAGACCCTGATCCCACGACTCCAGGGACTCTGTGATCTGGAATGTTTAGCTGTCAGACTGGCAATAAGACCGACAGTCCATGGCCCATGCTGATGCTGAAACTATGAATCATGGCAGGCAATGACAAAACAAACAAGGTCCTTCAATGGCTTTCCCGTGAGGCCGGACTCCGTCCAGGCAATTTCGCACTCCTGCCTGATCTCATCCATGACAAAGTTCATGGCGCAGAGGAAATCATCCAGTGCCGTTTTGGGCCGCTGCTCCTGCATGTCCAGCGAATGTTTGACGGCCGTGGATAGTTTCTTCTCCTCCTCGGTATACCCGCTGCCCAAGCTCTTCAGCATTGCCTTCTTGCCGGAGCCGGATGCGAGCTCCACTCCTCCGCCCTGGGCCTGCTGATCCGTCATCTTCCGCTTTCGCGGATTGAGCCGTCCCTCGGGATCTTCGTTGTCCACGTCATCTGTCATTTCGACATCCTCGGCAGCATCATCCAAGGTTTCAGCCTCATCCACAGGATCCGTCTGCAACTGTTCGTTCTCATGCAGCTTCGCACGCAGCTCGGCAAACACTCGGGACTTTACGGACACATCCTTGGCGGCTTTCTTTTCCTGCATCTGTTGTTTCTTGGCCACTGCGGCAGGGTCGACCTCCAGACCAAGCTTGCGGAACGCCACCGACCCATGCATGGGCAGCATGAGCAAAGAGATCAGTTTGGAAGCCTCGGTGCTGCATCGCTTGAAAATCCAGGGGGTCTCTCGCTCACCAGAACGGGACCCGCCATCGTCTATGAGACTGGTGGGCACCTCAGCTGCAAAACGGTCCATTGGGTCTGCGTCTGGGTCATTGACAAGTGACATGTTCACATGTTGACATGACTGAAGTCGGTGACGATGGCGACACAGAATGAGACACATTGCACTGTATGCTTCGAACATACATCATGGATTCAGAGATACACACATCACATCACAAAACAGCACACATGCAACACAGGCCGACACAGAGTCTCAAGCATAGATGTCACGTCTGAGTTGTGACATGTTTCAATCGTTAAAGCTCCTCACCTAGCCACTGATGTCTTAGACTGCTAGATTGTAACATGACTAACATGACACATGGCCAATGACCCGGGCCAACGGCCAACGACCAACCGAGGCAGATGCGCAGAATTTCAGCGCCTGTACCATCACGATGCCCATGGTGGCCTTGTCGTAGTACCGCTTCATCGTGGAGGACAGAGCAACAAGAAGTTCATGCATCACGGAGATCATCGCGGACGGCACCATCTCGGTACTCAGAAAATCCACATTTGCATTGGACCATTGTTGCAAAGCCGTCCTGGAAATACAGCAAGTTTAAAGACACTCATGACTGTCGACTCATGACACTGACGACTTACCATGTTACAGCCTGTTACGGCCTGTTACAGCCGCAGACATCCACAGATCGTCCGACAGAAGGCCAGAGCACTACACCACACCGGCACTGCACTACACTGACAGACTGACATACAGTTTGACGTCACAAAGCAGCGGTAGTGACATCGTGACATGGAGTCTAGCACAGCCGTAAATGCATGCAGTTTGCAATTTGACAATGCTTAGCTGCTTCATTGCTTCATGACTGGGCTGCGGCTGTGCACGTGACACGTGCCATCCATCAAGCCGTGGGAGTCGTGGCGTGACGGCGTGACTGATGTCGCAGCATGACTGTATGACTCATGATGCTGCATGATCAAGAATCAATAATCATCAGGACAACATGACTCAGACTCAGCACCTATCACCACGTCATTCCTCAAGTCCTCAAGACTCAAGACATATTACGTTAAGTTATATTACAATAGCAGCATTACAACTATCATTACAACTTATGACTTATTACAACTTGTTACAACCTACTAGGCCGCTAACGGACTCACGCCTGACCGCCGACTCCGACTCCCGCTCGCCGCTCGCATTACTATATTACTATATTACATGAGAGAGTTGTGTGACTTAGTTAATTACGTCACATTATTTGTCACCTGCGGAGCATTGAATCGTTCTGAGTTCTAAGTCACAAGTCCTAGTGACTGAGTCCGAGTTCCGAGTTCTGATGAGTCCTACAGGAGCTATAACTAAAACTATAGGCATGTTCGTGACGTGCCCTGACGTGACGTGCCGTGACCGTCACCGTGCCGTGACCGTGACGTGCCGTGACGTGCCGCGACTGCGACTCACGACTCACGACTCACTACTACACTACTACACTACTCACTACTCGCCAATGGTTGTGCCAGGCGGGCCAAGTGAGCTGTGAGTCATGACATGCCTGTCATGCAATCCTGCCATGCTACCGACGGACCGACGGGATCCAACAATGAATCAACAACTAGCGACGGACGAACACATCAACGTGGACTCAAACTCGGTCTCAGACGCATCGCGTGCGTCCAAGTAGCAGCTGGTCTACCGACTGTAGCTGATGAACCACACTCAAGGCTTCTTTGTACGGGTTCCACTTCTTGAAGTGCTCGCTTGCGGCGAAGACAAACGTCTCATAGTGATTCAGGTATCTCGGGTTGGCTGTACCTGCGCAGATTTCCAGCAGCAGTGACAACAGCAACAAGTTGTTGCTGTAACAACTTGTAACAACAACAACAACAACAACGACAACAACAACAACAACCGCAACCACAACAAGCACGACAACCACAACAAACACAACACCAACAACCGCAACCAAGGACCCATGGCCACAACCACGACAGCAGCCAAGCAACGTCAACAACCACAGCTTCAACTAAAACTACAGCAACAACAGCAACAACAACAACAGCAACAACGACAAGGACAGCAACAACAACCCAACAACAACAACAACAACAACAACCGAATCAGCAACAACAACAACAACAACCACAACAACAGACAACAGGCCACGAATCAACAACAAACAGCCACAACACCAACAACAACAACAACAACAACGACGACACCAGCAGCAACATCAACAACAACCACAAGTAACAACAAGCAACAAACATCAAACAAAAAAACAACAAACAGCCAACATCCAACAACAACAACAAATACAGCAGGAAAACAAGGAGAGCCACAACTATAACAACGAACACCAACGACGACGACGACGACGACGACAGCGGCAACAACAGCAACGCAGCAACCACAACCAACAACAACTCCAAGAACAACTGACAAGAGCAACAAACAACAACAACCAACAATTGCCAACCACCAACCAGGGGCCAACAACCTACAACAACAACAACAACAACAACAACAACAACAACAACAACAAAAACAACAACACCACCAACAACAACACCAACAACAAAAAACAACAACAACAAAAAAACCAACAACAACAACAACAACAACCAACAACAACAACAACAGCAGCAGCAGCAGCAGCAGCAGCAGTATCAATACCCGCAGCGGTAGCGGCAGCAACAACGACGACGCCGACAACGATCGTTCACAAAAGCTACGACGACAACAACGACAATAGCAACATAAGCAGCAACAGCAACATAAGCAACAACAACAACAACAACGGGACCAACATCTAAACACTGCTACTCAACAACCCACAAGCAATAGCCAAGAACAACAGCATCGACTCATCCCGTCGATCAATCCAACCTACCTGCACTGTTGATTCAAGTTACTCATGCCACTGCTCTGGCAATCCGCTCGCCACATGCTCTCCATCCGACTTGCTTCCATCAATAAATCGAGATAAGATGTTCCGGAACCAACGTGAAATTGGTTATGGATCTCGATAAAGCGCTTCCACACGTTCGGATTGATCTTGTGGCTCCTTGCACGCAGCAGCAACATTACATTCCGGTTCGGCCCCATTGCCAATGGCCCAATAGCCTAACAGCCTAGCAGCCTAGCCTAAAAACCAACAACCTGACTGACCATGGCAGGGGGGGAAGGACAAGGACGGAGACTGAAAATAGTGATTGCCCCCCCCCCTACCCCACACGCCCTGCGCCCTGCACGGCACTGAATCCAAAATCTAGCTCCCATTGATTCGTTGATCGACTGTAGACTGTGGTATTGAAACGTGCAAGACAACATGGCGACCACAGTCATGAGAGTGTGTGGTGTGGCAGTCTGGCAGTCTGAGGCCGATGATTTGTGGTGCCAACGATTGACGACTGACCTGACGGCGCCGGGGTCAATCTCACACCAGCAAGCCAGGCGAGTTTGTAGAAATATGCCGCACCAGTGCAATCAGAATCATGAATCATGGATGCTATACGTCACATGTCAACATGATGAACCCCGTCTGTCAAACTGTCGAAATGCTCCGTGTACCGTGTAGACTGCCCATACAGGTTGATTGTAGCAGGTGACGACCCGACGATGGCGATGACCGTCCCCGGACCGGACCGTCCCCGGGACCGTCCCCCCTTTGGTGATGGAGCACTAAACTTAGCTTCACTAGACATTCAGTGTCACTGTCACTGACCGACCACAGTTGCATCCAGCACGTGACATGGAGTCCATTGGAAGCTGACTGCTCACTACTATTCTACTACAATCTGCTCTGAATCTACTCTCCAGTCTCCACTGATGGTCTTGGGTCCTGGGTTATGTATTGTGTGTCTACTGTGTCTACTGACAAGTGTACTCAAGTGTACAGGTGGATTTCGGTAAACATAACATAAAATATTTTTTCCAAGATTCATGAACTTGACCCGGTGAAGGCCACTGGCCAGGGCCTGCTTGACAAAGACATTGTCTCCATGCGACTCTGCCGCCCTGTAGAGCGCTTCGGCCCTGTGATTAAAAGTTCCAGCTTCCGCTGGAAAGGAACGTGTCCCGTCCTTCCAGCGGAAGACGGCCTCACCTCAGCTGAGGGACTGGGGGTGGCTGGAAGCCACGGATTGGAACAACTCAACTCCCATCTCACATCACAGTCTCACATATGACATAAGTGTAAGTCAACCCCGCACCATGCCAATCATTTGGAATTATGCCAAGTGTCCGGAAGCCAGCTGCGACAAGCCCTCTTTCAGGATTCGGTGCATGTATGCAGAAGCAGTGCTGTTCTGAATTGGGCGAGACAACGGACTTCGCTGCACATTCCTGACTTTGGTGCCGTCCCCTCTCTCTGTGTACCAGGGAACGTCACACTCCTCCTCACCGAAGGCCTTCCACACCGCTTCCAGATAGGCAGCCCCCGTGAGGCTGGGGCCAAAGAGGTCCACGGTGCTGTACTTGGCATCCGATACGTCGATTCCACGAGCCATGCATTGTGCCACCGTGTAACGGGAGAGCACACCCTCACCAGCACCCAGTTCCAAGGTTTGGAATTCCGGAGGCAGCACAGCGCCGACACGGGCTCCTCCAGAGGCAGAGGTCCCAGGCTCAGCAGTGGGTGATCTCTGAGTAGAAACTGAAACTTAAGGACGATCCGAAGGCTCATTGGTCTTCACGGTCAGTGATTTTGCCTTGGCTTTGGCGGCCTTGGCCTTCGCAACCTTGGGTGTCCCCTTACTTTGGACCGTTGCCCACACTGGCCGCCCTGCACGGTAGCAACAAGGACAGCGAAGGGGCAAACCACACTGTTGTGTGCGGCGTGCTTTGCGATGCACAATCGAATTTCCTAGAGAGAATAGTGGCTTTCTCTGACTGTCAGTCAGTCAGGTCCAGTCCCACAAGTCACAATGATTCAGCCGACACAGCTGACTGTCGCACAGCAGTGATGCATGACTCAATGCATGAAACATGTCAAGTGGCAATGTGTGTCTTGTGACTCGTGTCTCAATGCTCAATCAGGACTTCATGAACCTCATGACTCCATGACTCCATGCTGCGCTGCAGCTGCATGTGTAGGAATGCACCATGAAATCATGAAAACCTACAAGTCATACATGCAATGCACTGCCGTTGGCCAGCAGACTGGCAGACTAGGCAGCGGGCGCACGGCAAAAGTGGCCGGCCACATAAGTCCTTCCATATCCCGGAGCAATTCTTTCCAGCATTTTCAAAAGTTTCTAGTTTACTTAACGTAGCAATTAGCAAGCATCTGCATCAGCCGATTCAGCAGAGTCTGTGGTCGTCGATTCGAGATTACAATGCACACTTGCCTTTTAAAGCAGGACACTGGTTGTGGGCCCACACAGGCAGACATGTCCAACTTCGTGGCATTAGTGGCCATTTGTGGCATTGGGCCACCTCGGCACGCAGTGATGCGGCGGCGGTGACGCCGCGGCCTCGCATGGTCAACGGTCCGGTCAGCACTATCTCACTATCACTCCTTAACATGCCAAACGCGAACGTGTACCCCAAGTCATTACTAGACCTCACATCTGCAGCGCATAGTAAGGCACGACTGAAGCCGACAGAGATCCGAATCCATATAATACAGAAAACATCAGGTGGACTCAGGTGGACACATCAGACCCATGTTGGCCATGGATTCTAGGACCGACTCGATGTGGAAGTCGAAGTCACGTGACCCGTGTGTGCCGGCAAGCGAAGCCGGGATTGCCGTACGCCAGTACTGTCGGGCACTGGGGATTCTGGGCCCTGGAACACTGACATTGTGACTCGTGACACAGTCTCGCAATGATGCACACATTGAAACACATTGATTATTAGAAAAAGAAAACTGCAAAGGCAACCGAGCCTGCGCCGGCCTGAGGACTACAGCCTTGCAACAGTGCAGCTAGACGAAGCACGGACAGCACCGACGTTACGTTATATGAGCTGTGCATGATGTCAACGCACCCCACACCCACCGCTGGCATGTGGTGTGTATCCGTCACCGTCGTCTAAGCTCTGTGCGGCGGCCAAACGGCACACGCACGCCGGTCAGCAGACCTGGCCAATGCCAATCAATGCACTGTCTTGTTCAGTGTACACAGCTGGGCTACCTCATGGGTGCCTATGGGCCTATGGGCTCGGCTTTGCTTCGAATCCTGACTGTGGCTCTTGGGCGACGACAGACATGGTCCATGCAAGACTCATCATTATCACAGGACAACTCATCACAGCATACAACTACAACTGACTTGGTGCAAGCAATACATACGTACTGGTCCAGTGCCTACTGCCGAACTCGTTTTGGAGTTGACCTGAAGTTAACCTGACGCATCACTGGCCCATCATGACCATGACCTGCCCTACCTGCCTATCCGGCCACTGGCTACCAATGGACAGGATGTCTGGGCTCAGCTCCAGAGCACGCACGCTCGACGCTCGACGATCTACAGTCTACAGTCCCTGACAGTCACGTCACCACACTCTGCATGTCACATGATCTTTGTCGCGACTTTTTTCTCGCCCTTGCTAGCCCCTGCTGATTGTTGATCCCATACTAGCCACTCTGCTGGACTCTACCCCGGACTCTACCCCCCCCCCTCGGCTGGGCCACCGTGACAGATATTGTTCAGAGGGTGACTCGCCCGTGAAACATCGGATTCAAGACAATAAATGTTCAAGAAATGTCATCCGTCACAGACGTTGATCACGAGTCGAACACTATTTGAAAATCAGGTCTGCGTTGCTCTGCCACGTTATACCGATTCTTTGCAGCCGCGAGGCCCCGGCCCCGCATCAAGGCTTGCAGCAATGCAGCAGTGCACAGTGATTAAATGGAATAGTAGAATGCGGTTGTGTTCTACTGGTTGTGAGTCGACTCATTGACCTGTTGTCAATCGTGATGATCTTCCCCCCGCTGCTGGGGACAGCTCAGCCCCGCCCGTCAGACTTACATTTATGCCATGCAGGCAGTGCAGTGCAGGAATCAGTTGAGATTAGCAATGCTTCGCGTACTGATAATGACATAATGACAGGTTGAGCTAGACATCAGACATCTCCGAATCCAAGTCTAAGAGAGTCTAGTCTAAGAATGTAAGGAAGGAAAACAATCTACCAGTGTGCTAGTATACTGTATACTACTCTTCCGTCAGACATGTAACAGACACCTTGGAAATGTGAAGTGGAACCGTGTATTTAAGTGTATTTGTGAAGTCGTGGAGTCGTGGAATCGTGGAGTCGCGGAGTCACGCAACGAGCATCAATTACATCACTGACTGGCGCCAACATACAGCACACATACAGTCAGCAAGCACATTGGCACATCGTTCATTGTTCATGCATTGCTTCAAACCAGGCAATGCAATGCAAGACACTCACTGCACCACTGGTCCCCTATCAATCTGTCTGTCTGTCTGTTTCTCTCTCTCTCTCTCTCTCTCTCACCGCATGCATGTTGTTGCTTGCATACACTGCACGGTCCATGTCACAAGACTGTATAACTCAACTGTATGACCACGTTGCAGCCGACATGACCGATGTGATGTAGCCATGTCACCATGCCACCGTGTGAGCTGTGAGCCATCATGCGACCTAATCACACGGGAACTAAAGTGATATACACAGTAGTATACACACAGACACACAGGTTGGCAAAAGACAGCTGCAGCTTTATCCGTCATCATCGAGTCATCCATTGGACCCATTGGACCCTGGACATTGGACCGTTGGTGTCATCCGTCCGTCACCGTCAGTACGTACTGTCTTCCGCGACCACGACTATGTGACGATACTATTACTACATTATCAGTCAGTGCAGTGGTACAGTAGTACTGGATGCCACCGTATCGGTGGACTGCGGAAATGGTCCATGAATACATGAATCATCCATCAGGGATACGATTCTCAATGCTCAGTTGACTAAATCGACGGCAGACATGACGACAATGATGCATGGCTGCATGTCATGGCCCATGGCAGTGGCATGTCGTCACGAGTCAAGTCAAGACCCTCTGTGCAAGGCACTGGGCATTGGGCATTGGGCTGTCCCAGCTGCAGAAGCATGATGAGGATTCGCTTGCATGGCAAACAACGTCGCAGCCGTCACAGCAACCGGTGCGAAACAGTGGTGCAGCAATTTCCTGTGTTCTATTACCACGAATCCATGTATAGAAGATAGTGCTCAACACTTGCTGCAATTACAGCTACCCACACTGACTGATCAGACAGACCGACCCCGCGTGACTACATGTAGTATGAAGTTTGATGACTGCTGGACACCGGCGCTGTGACACTGAGAGGCTGATGAGACATATCGACATATCGAATCATCGAATCTCCGCCCCTCCTCCTCCGGCCCCTCCCGACAGTCATCAATGGCACTTGGTCTTCGTCCTCAACCTCTTCTGGCACTGGAATTTCTGGTCCTTCTGTACAGTCTTGGCCTTCTTGGCCGCTGCCAGCATCTCCAACCGTGTGCTGCCACACGATGATTCTTTGGGCTTTTCAGGGGCGCTTTTTGATTCTGAATTCGAGCTCAGTGACTGAGGCACACTGGGCTTGCGTGACACGACGGCTTTGAATTTGTCTGACATGAGCCTGGATGATCCCAGCCTCGATGGCAACTCCGACCCTCGCGACTTCTCGGTTTCCAACACTTCGGAGTCCGACATGTGCGTGTCCAAAGAAGCACCTGACCCGTGCCTGGTGTACACGTCCTGCATGTGTCGGCCTCGTCGCTTCTGCTGCGTGCGGCGACCGTCGCAGATCTGCTTGAAGAGCACGGGTGTATCAATGTGGGTGTAGGTCAGGCTGTGCAAGTCGATCAGAGCCATAGCCAAAACGTTCATGGAGTTACCCGCCTGCTGTCTCATGACCTTTCCTGTGCGGCCAGGTCTCTGCCAATGGAAGCAGCAAAACCTTGAGACAGACACATGTAACGTGAAACACAAACAAGACGCATACAAAGAATGGACAGGAACCGACGGCAAAGGAGAAAGCCGCTACACAACGGGCCGGGGACATGTGACGTGCGATGACATGAGTCACATGACATGTGCTACATACTACATACTTACAGGCAGCCAAGCAACGGACGTGTCACCGGCTGTCCGGGGTGCAATGGGAATGCTTGAGCAAGTACCGCCTCCGAGCCCAACAGCCATCTCTCGGGCATCACGCTGTCCGTGTACAGGAGGTGGCTGTTCCTGATGAGGGTCATCAAGCAAGGCCCTGTCGTGCGTGCCCCGTGCCCGTTGCATGGGTTCTGATTCAGCTGCCAACACTCACCGGGAGACTGTGCCACATATGCTTCAAGAAATTTGGTCTCGGTGGCATTGAGGGTGCTCCGAAAAATCATGGGGTCATGCATCAAGTCGATCCTGTCGGCTTCCGGCACCTTGTGGGCATCTTGATCCTCCTGTCCAGCAACTCGACTGCTCTGCCGGTGTGATGCCCACATCCACTCCTGCACTAGCTCGTCTTGGATGGGATTGTACATCTCCGGGATGTCACTGTCGTTAAACTCATGACGGAAGAAGAACTCTCTCCATGTCCACGAGCAAGCACGGTGGAAGCGCACAGCGAAACGGGACAGTGGGCTCAGCTCGGACAAGATCTCAGCTCGGCACCGGGGGCACAGAAACATGAACATGAACCAGCCCCACATGATCATGATCATGATCGATTCCCGCTTCCCCATCCCCAAAACCAGAACATCAACATATGAATCAACATCCTAATGACTCACGACTCATATTCCATTACTCAATTAACCCTGGGCTATGGGCCAGCCGAGTGTCTTTGACCTTGTGTCGCATTCGGCAAAATTGCCGTGTGCGGGCACACGCCCAACCGAGGCAAGGTGGGTCAATGACGGTCACGTCTATGTGATACATGTGTCCGAGGAATCGATGCAGAAGAGAAATATCTGCTCCGACAACGTTCCTCGGATCGGTTATGCAGACCACACCGAAGATGTTACATCACATCGTAGCTGGAGATGTTAATTCGTATTAAAAAACATTCACTATCATAATGACATCATCATAACATCCGTCACAACCAGAAGAATTCAGAAGAATCCCATTGAGTCGCTCATTGTTTGGATTCATATGTTAGGTCAGTGGTCTTCCGGCGTGTCGTGAGTCGTTAGTTGTCTGTCTGTCTGTCTGTGTCTGTCTGTGTGAAACTGAAACTGAAACTGTGACATTGTGAATTGTGAAACTGCAGAACTGAAAACAAAAAGGCCACAAACGCTCGGAGTCGGACTCTCTGAGTGTCTGTTGCGACAATACACTGCTGTCACTACCACTGCTAATGCCTAATAGCGCGTGTCTGCGGCTTGACGTGACGTGACGTGACGTGACTTGATGTGACGTGACGTGCCGTGGCCTCACGTGACGTGAGCGTGCAATGCAACATTCTGACACATGGAATGGAATTCCCTATACTCGTGATGCCGTGATGTGAGACTGGGGGCTCGTTGGTGATGTCCGGTTCCTGGAGCAGCATTCTGAGTCCGATCCAACACAAGGAATAAACCGTGTTGAAATCCATGAGCGCCGCACCGGATCCCCGCTTGCTGTACGGAACACAGGACGTGCCAGCCACATGTCGTCTGGCTGATTTCAGGCAGCAGTGCCGCTGATGTGTGAGGCAAAAGCTAGAAGACTTGACCGCACGGCCAGATGCCAGGACCGGGGCAAGAACTTCCACACACATCATGGGTTTCTGTCGCAGTTGCTCCAGGACCTCGGACAGTTCAGGTCGGAAGAACCTGCCGATGTCGCCGAATAAACATGCACCTGTCTCGCGGGCTACCAGCAACAGTTCCGGCTGATTGTGCGGGTCGAACTCAATCATATGGAGAAGCCTTGGAAAGGGGATATCCGTACCAAGTGCCTTGCCCATGGCGGAACGATTTGCGCAGCTGGCCGTATGAGGCGCTTCTATGCCGCTGAATGCAGTGCTCATAGTGTCTGCATGGGCCGCCCGGACGATGTCATGCATGTCAAGGTCGATGGAATCCTCTATCACATCCATGGCATGATCGTGCCACTGCAAACCTTCAAGCAGACTGCCTGCAATCTTACTGGTGGCTCCACATGATGACCGCTGTTGATGCGACTGCATGCCTTGCTCTGCATCCCCTCTCTTTGCATGCCCACCCCTGGCCGACTGTATGTCCTGCTCTGCATCCCCTGTCTTTGCGTGCCCACCAGTGGCCGACTGTATGCCCTGCTGTGCATCCCCTCTCTTTGCATTCCCACCAGTGGCCGACTCTGTACCCTGCTCTGCATCCCGGGTCTTTGCATGCCCACTAGGCTCACCAGTGTCCGATTGCGTGCCCTGCTCTGCATCCCCTGTCTCTGCATGCCCACCAGTGGCCGACGCCGACACATTCCCTGAACTCTCCGGCTCTGTCGGACCGCCAATGTCAGCAGGATGCTCCGTGGGCATCTCCGCCCGCGGACCCTGAGTCCGAGTCTGGTTGATGCCTCTGCAACCGTCATGATTTGTGTCGTCAACATCATCCTCCTCCTCAATGATGAGTGTTGGGACCTCGTCTGGCGACACATGCAAGCCAACGTGGCCAAGGTCGCCCTCGTTAATCGACGGACCGGTACAAAGACCCGGATGTTCGTCCTTGCCGAGTGCTCGATTCATGTGGGTTGCGTGAGTACAAGCAGGCAGCGGGCTTAGTAAGGATGTGATGTGTTACGTGAAGTGCCGTGATGCATGCTAATGCTGCATGCATGACATGACTGAGGCTGTCGCTCTGAATTTCTGAATGTCCCAAAACAGAGCAAACATCAACATCGCAATAGCCTACAGTCTCTACAGGCTCACAGGCTCACAGGTCCTACAGCATACAGCCCTACAGCCTGGCAGGCCTACAGCGTGTACTGCGGACCTTGGCCCCGGTCCGCCGCTTTCGGCACAACCGACAATTGTCAAGCTCTGTGCAGTCTGCGACAGGCTGCGACAGGTTCAGCTTATCTGGATCACTTCATCACCATCGCCATCACCATCACCACCGCATCGATGCCCCGAGGTGAGGCGCACGTCGACATGCCCGGCAAAACTGGGTTAATATCTCGAAATCTCTCATCTCTCTCACGCCCACTTCCATCCAAGGAGCCCCCCAGACATGCAATGCAACATGGCACGGCCTGACCTGACTAGCCTTGATGTTGAGAGCATGGTCCGCATGGTGTGACTGCCGTGGCTGTGAAGAGCTCCGTGATCTTTTTCCATGGAAGAGCTGGTCCATGCCATCCCTTGTGACCGTGCCGAAACGCGGCACTGAATCATCCGCCCCTGGGTTCGATACTCGTCCCGGAGTTTTGCATGTTGACGGGAGCATCGCCTGCGACCGTCTGGATTGCACATCACTAGAATGTCAGAATGGTCTACACCATGCTAATGATACTGTTCTGTGTGATGCAGCCAACGAAATGACGTAAATGCAACAGTTCCCACCTCCGCATCAAGCTTGGGCCATGAGTCAACACTTTCACCACTAAAAAGTCTGTCGATTCCACGTTGCGTCACCAATCCGAATTGTGGCGTCCACTGTTTCAGGCACACGGAGTCCGTAGCAGTCGCGGACCTTCGCGTGCCCCCCCGCCCACGAACATCATCTTCTCCATGGACCTGCGGGTCTACACAGCAGCCGACGCACACCGCCCTGATCACCCTGTTTTATGCACATCCCACGGCGAGTCCCCGTGATTCATGATGACCATGGAATAACGGAACATGCCTGCAACATTGCAACTGCAACACAGTAGCGGCATGAAGATAGACATGGCGGCATGCATGCAAGCAGCGACGAACAGCCACAGCCTGGCCTTGCCCACATGTTGCTGTGGAGCCACGTATGTTGACGATGCCGCAGATTCAACATTCGAAGAGGCATTCCCTGGTCCTGAGCCTGTCTGTACTGCCTCGTCAGGGTTGATGCGGAACAACGTCTGGATTCCTTTTGCCGCGGGAACGACAAACGGCGGCGGTGTCTTGCTCTTACTCTTACCACGTCTGACTGGTGTCGACTTGGACACAGGTGCCCTGGGTGCAAGCATGAGGCTTGCCGGGGGTCCGAAGATTTGCTCCTCCAGCTCCGCCATCAGTTCCTGCTCGTGACTCCCTGTGCTCACCGGACTTCGCGGGCTGTCCGCCACAGAAGCGGGACCTGTGTGCGCCGACATGTTCTGTCGACACCACTCGTAGACCTGCTGCAAACTGCCAGTCGGCACCGACAGCCCCAGCGAGGACGGATCGTACGGATCATTCATAGGATTCACCTTCTTCGGCCTCTTGAAGTTGTCGGGCGGTCGAATGGAGTCGGGGCTGCTGCTCAAACGATCCATACTCATCCAGGTCTCCTCAGGCAGCACAACGCACTCTTGCCAGACGTGTGCATGTCGTGCAGTCGTGCATGGTCCACAGCATGAAATGACAAAGAATTTTCCCCAACTTTCCGAAACATTGTGGTCTACAGTCCACGGTCTGGAGGCATCTCTAAGCATGAGTGTTTGAACAAAAGCATGCCGCACATGACGCATCACGACTTAGTCATGCACCCCGGCTCATCAACACAGGTCCTGCGAATTCCATCTGCAATATGCAGCTGGCCATATGACGAATCTGAGCTTGACATGCCATGCCGTGCAAGCTGTTTTCTTGGACTTCCATCCCTTGCGTAGATTGGCCAGCTCGTCATCGGTACATTGGTGGTCCTGGTAGTGATTGCTCAGCTCGTCCCACTTCACCTGTCAGCAAAGGCTGGCAGTGCACATGAAATCAAAATCCACACCCGAGCAATGCATTGAGCGGCTAGCATGAGAGTGTGTCCATGTTGCGCGACTGCTACAGTTGTCAACTTTTTCTTTGCAGACACCAAAACATCACAACTTCCTGCAAGCAACATTAAGTAACATCAACATCCCCGAATAGGCTTTGAACGAAGTGTGTGCAGTCGGTGACCCGCAAAGTAAGTCTTGCCTGACCCGGCGGAAAAAAAGACATGCACACAGTGAAAAAAATCGGCTACAAAGACATAACATGCAGAAGCAAAGTCTAATCACCGTAACACGACTCACTGTACAGTGTTATGAACAACCAGAACAGATAATGCATAAAAAACAAACAACCAAAAAAATAAAACAAAACTGAAAAAATAGAAAAAAATAAAAAAAAAATAACATCGCATCAGGTCCCTGAGCAAAGGGTCCAGGGGCCCGGATTGGGGCAATCGGGGTCCTGGAGGGCCGGATTGGGGAGCTAGGTCCCACATCCGGGCCCTGGAGGGCCGGATTGGGGAGCTAGGTCCCCAATCGGGGTTTCTGAAGCCGGATTGGGGAGCTAGGTCCCCAATCCGGGCCCCGGGAGGGCCCGATTGGTGAGCCAGGTCCCCAATCGGGGCCCTTGCAGGGCCGGAAAGCGGGAGCCAGGTCACCATCAGCGGCACAGGAGTGACTATCGATGAAATTGTTGGAACGCTTACAAAAAATAAAAAATAATAAAAAAACGCAAAAATATTAGTAAATAAAATGAAATAAAAAAATTGTATATGCAATCAATATTTCAGCGACCCGATTGGTGAGCTAGGTCCCCAATCGGGCCCTGGAGGGCCGGATTGGGGAGCTAGGTCCCCAATCAATCGGGGCCCCTGCAGGGCCGGATTGGGGAGCTAGGTCCCCAATAGGGAGCCAGCTACCCAAAGGGGGCACGGAAGGCCGGATTGGAGATTTGGGTGGTTAATGGAAGCCTTGCAGGGCAACTGGTTGTTTTGGCGGGTACGCTTGGGGACAGTCGCGGCCTCTTTGGGGACGATTGGGGGAGATGGGGCACTTCTACATCCCAGCTCGTGAACATTTCCTCATTTGGGTATGGTCCCCGAGTCACATTTCGTGAGGGTCAGCCGTGGAGTCACACTCATTGAACTAAAAAAATTGCTACCAACAAACAATGGGAAGGTTGGATCGCCGATCCAATGAGGCCAAATCGGTGAGTCGAAGTTCACCGCTTGTTGCTGCAGACGAGCAACTATGCTGTCATATAGGTTGTGAGACCTGGGGATCAGTCTCGGGAGTCCGGTCCCCCTTGCATGAGCCGAGCGTGGGATTAAAAGCATTGCCCGATGCGGGCCCAAAGACTTGATTGGGTAGTCACGTTCGGATTTTTGAGAGGGGGGGATGGGCAGGGGCATTGTCAGAGTTTCCTGGGTAGGAAGCCCGGCACCCAATGGGAGTCCTGTGATACATGGAGTGGGGAGCTGGTGCCCCGCTGGATTCGTATGGCCCGGATTGTGGATGTATGGCCCCCATCGGTCATGCAGGGATCCGATGAAAGGAACCAGCCCTCCGATGGTGTGTTCCCGCAAGCGTCGGACCGCTGTCTGGACAATGAAGTGTGCAATGGTAAACCGCAGCACATCGATCAGCCACAAAAAAATAAAGTTTTCAACAATCCAACTTTGGTCACGCACTACTGCCCGAAAAGGCACCCGGCCTGGCATGTTCCTAGTGACGGTGCATATCTAAAATCACAACAGAAGCTAGAGGTACATCATAGAACCTACGAGGCATGCATGATGTCATGCGGAGCCTATCCTCACATACGGTCTTCCAACGTGCTTAGTGAAAACAACGCCCTGGAACAAGTTCCAGGCTTGATTGCTCCGAAGACATAATTCCACTGACCACTCCCTTTGAAAAAAAACATGGCACATCGTGAGATGATGGATGCTGGCCAGCTCTCACGATGGATGCTAAATGCTAGCCAGCTTTGCACATGCATCTTACAATGGATCCTCGAGTAGTTATGTGTCCTGCCTAATGGTGCTTAGGCATGACCATGTCGACATGAATCCAGTGTCGTGTTTGGCCTGCACGTTCTCCAGAAATTCCATGACGGCCACAACACGTGTGAGCTGCAGTCCATGTGTGTTCTGTCCCACAGCGCTTTCACATAGATAGAACAGCTGCCCTGGCTGCACACAACGGCAAGCGTGGCTCTTGAGCTCCCAAACCTTTCCATGGGTCAGGAACCTCCGTGCGAAATTGGGGTGCACGAGCAATCCGTGCACGTGGCACTGGCGAGTGCACAGACTCTGCTGCAGCATCACGGTTCCGGCCGTCCATGCACGAGTTATCACAAGTCGTCATGGCCTCGGTGAGACGTCCTGCGTCCTGCGTGTGTGTCCCGACAGCACACGCAGGGCAGCAGCCCGGCAGAATCAACGGAGAGCCTAAGACTAAGATCCACTAGGCACTGGCTCTACATGAGCTAGTATCTAGTCACCGATCCTTGGCGTGGACCTTGTTCAAACGGGTACAACAATTGTCAACATGTGTGCATAGATACAACAGCAGTTGTTAATAGTGTGTACAGATGACTGCTGCTCGCACACCTGCATCCCTCAACATTGGTCTAGTAGGGAAATGATTGATCATGTCCGTTATGCTCACTAAGACCACATGTCGAGAGGCATGTAAATGCACACGTCACGATTCATACAAACATTGGATGTCTTCTTGCCTGTCACGAAAGAATGCAATCATCAAACAAGACCTAGACTGTGCACAATTAGTTGGAGATTGTCGCACATGGTGCATGTGTGTCCATCACGGTTGATCGCTGGGCTGGTTTGAGCCGAAGGCAAAGCACAGCGACACGGTTTGCTAACATGATGAATGAAGTCCGCAGGTACATGCCAGTGGTTGGACTGTCATGTGCATGTGTGCGGGCTCCGGCCGAAAAATGATCATACCTAGTGCTGACAGAGCAGGAGCCATCTGCAAGCGTGACAGCCGCACGACAGTGAAGAAACGATGAGTGCATCGGCGGACATTGTCAGCCTGAGTCCAGGGACGTTTCTTATCAGCACCGATCCAACTAGATCCATACGTTGCTGCATGCCATGCATGTGCCGAAGCTGCACAACCCCAGTCATGTAACCGTGGCTGTGACAAGGAAAGCAAAGCCACTAATTTTGCACTCGCCAAAAAAGGGACGCAGTATAACGTCCCAATTATCAGCCCATCAGCTCACTGTACGATGTGACTTACATGGCGGCTCCATGACAGGATCGGGATCGTTGTCGCTCTCCGATTCCGGGTGCTCAGGGTGCTCGTAGTCATCTGACTGCTCCGATTCAACGTCCGACAAGTCTATGACTCCACCTGAGGCGGGCTCATGGAGAGTTCGGTTGTTACGCAGACGCTTGCCCCAGTCGTCGTGTTGTCGTGAAGCCGAAAACCCACGTTTGTTGTTGCCGCCATAGAACTTCTGCACAGTCTTGGACTTGTAGTGGTTGTGGCGGTGATACTGGTGGTGATGGTAGTGAAAATTTTGATGAATGTCAACATGCTGACACGGCTGACCTGGCACATGGCTGTGCGAGCTTGCCCCAGGACCGGCACCACTAGCATACACGCCGGGCACGGGGCTAGTGCCATTGTCCGCGGCCGCACCCATCTCGTCATCTGACGAATCATCTGAACCCCCGGGCCCCCAGAAAGTCCTGAACTCGGGCGGGGGGCCCGCGGCGCCATCGGCCTCACTGTTCCACCTGCCAGGGTCATGCCGATGATCTCCGTTCTGGTGGGCACTGCTCACGTCATCCTCGTGGTCCGCCGTCTCACCACCGGAAACACTACCTGTGACATCGCCTTCTCCAAGGTCGTCTGCATCATCGGGAGCCAGGTCCTCGTACTCGAAGTCATCAGTGTCGTTCTCGGGCACGGCGTTCGTGGCAGTGTCCGTCTGGGGGCAAATGGTGGAATGAACCCCAGCTGTTAAAGCTGAACGAGGACACTGAATCGTCGTGCTCAGAATCGTGCTCGTGCATGGAGTGGCACTCGTCAGGAGGATGTTCGACATCCCTGGGAGAGTGCTCCAGGCGTGGGGCGTCGTCAGCAGCGTCATCAGAGGTGACGCTGTGACTGCTTTCCACGGATTCCATGGCGGACCGCAGTCCCCGAAAGCGGTAAACCTAGAGCTCTTGTCGTGTTTCGTGAGTCGTGCAGCGATGAGCCCCTGACTTGACTTAGTCGAGTCGATTGGCGAGTGGCATGGCGAATGATCGTGAAGAATGCTGTGGATTGCACCTTTGTACGGTCCAGTGCCATGCTACACTGCTACACTGCTACACCTGTAACAGGCCTGTAACATGTGACGATCCGTACTGATTGTGTCCTGCTCAGCTCGTACTATCCGTCGAACCAAGTTCATGAACTGCTACAATTGAACTATATTTAACTACATGTGCGTCTGAATCAGCCCGTGTGTTAGTTCCACGAGAACCGTCGCTTATACAAAACGACTTTGACAATTAAGCTGCGAGCGGCACGAGGTCGTGGCAGAGCCGCAAGGCAGCATGATACACTATCATGTCACATGACCCGCAGAGTGCTCGTGACAGTCATGGAATGGTGGGTCACACAGACCGAGTAGCGATTCGCAACTCCTAAACAATCCGCAATCTAAACAACAGCGCACAAATGTGACGACCGGCTTCGAGTGGCTGGCCAATCAGCCACGATAGCAGCAGAGAGACGGTGACCTCAGGTCACAACCACAACACTGCCACAATTCAACTGACCCACCAGCAAGGTGAAATCCGCCGCACACTCATGCAATGCGACTGTCACTGTGTCTGCCACTGCCAGTGTCTGTGCATGCACAACACAATTCAATGCATGTGCCACGACATGTGCTTATCTTATAATAACCATTGACCATACGGGGAATGATGAACAGGACGTTGAACTCGGTGCAAATCTGACTTTCAGCCTCGAGTGGCTGGCCAATTTGCCAATCAGCCGTGATAGCAGCGGAGAGACCTCAGGCCCCAACACTGTCGACAGTCGCATCATTCACTATGAACTCCGTGGCGCACTCTCACAGAGACACTGCGCATGAACCCGCATGAATGTGTGCAGGAGCAACACAATTCAATACAATGCAAGGAAACTCGTAAACGAGACTGTGTGCACATCTGCGACATCTGAGTTTCAGCTTCGGGTGGCTGACCAATCAGCCACGATGGCAGCGGAAAGACCTCAGTTCCCAACATTGACACAGCACTCAGAACTCTGTCACTCTGTCACACACTGTCGCCTTGAGACTGGTGCAGTGCAAGAGCAACGGAAGCAGTCGAAACACGTGTCGGTTGCATGCACACTGTCAGCTGATTCTCTTAGCAATGCGAGCGAACAAAACGAAACTACCTCCTGCACGTGCACAGTGCAGACCGAGCCAGAGGCACTTGGATCGGTGGTCATGACGTGACCTGCGCAGGTTCAGGAGTGCAGCCACACAGCCACATGCAAGGCGTCACACTTGTCCCTGTGTCCATCACTTGACGACTCCACGACTCCATGACGTGTGGGACAGTCTGGCGACGGCAACTCGACTCATCTGACTCAGACTGCCGCACATGATTCACTGAAATGCATGTGTGCTGTGTGCATGTATGACATGTGACACGTCGAAGGAATGGTCAATGCAGCTGCCTCTCTTTTCTCGTGTGCTCTGATGACGCACAGCTTCGATCGATCTGATCTGTGTCAAAAGGCAAAATGCCTGGTTACCCACTGATACATCCTGTCGCCCCCAACCAACCAGCAGCCACACGGTCCAGTCCACCCGGGTCCACCCGGTCAGTCGATGTCATCCTGGTCGTCCTGCTGTTCCCTGTCGGCATCGGCGGCATCGGCAGAAGCATCCTTGGCCGCAGTGCTCCGCCTGGCTGCCTTGGGCGTTGCCTTGGGTGCCTGCTTCGCACGCTTGGTGCTGGCGTTCCCAGTGCCAGTGCCCTTCCCTCTGGCCCGACTGGCCCCACTGGCCCCCTTGGCTTCCTCGGAGGTCTTGCCAGCGCTAGTGGCCTTCCCACTAGCCTTGGCCTTGGCTTCCTTGGAGCCCTCCGCCTTCTTCGGCACAGGTGAGCGAGCCGGCGTGCGTGCCCGGGATCGCACCACCACTACCAGCACCACGGTCCTGCACTGCACATCGCAAAGTCGCAAAGGTACACGACCGACGACAAACACCACTGGTGACTCAGCAAAAATGGCTTCCTTGGAGCCCTCGGCCTTCTTCGGCGCAGGCGAGCGAGCCGGCGTCCGTGCCCGGGACCGACCGCCACCACCACTGCCAGGACCATGGTCCTGCACTGCACATCGCAAATTAAGTCGCAAAGGTACACGACCGACGACAAACACCAGGCGTGACTCAGCAAAAATGGCTATTGACTCACTACTCGCGGCTTCGGCTTGTGATGACCGGGGCAACACAGCGACAACACTACTCCAGATCCTTCTGTTCCGGCCGCGGTGTCCGTGGAGCAGGAGCAGCCGAGCGCGAGCGCCCTCGTGCCTGCGAACATGGAGTGAAGGAGCCACATGTCTTTAAGACATACCGGACTGGACCGACCGACCACTGACCACGCATGCGCACACACAGCAAGCAGAAGCAGACTCGGTGTAGCAGCACACATGTACACAGGGACCAACGTGAACGTGTGTCGAAGCGTTACTACTGATACTGCTGACTCCGACCGGCTTGCCACATCTCACATGATCAAAGGACATGGACATGGACATGTAGAGTCATGTCATGTAGAGTTGCCTTCGGCACTGCCGGTGCCCGTGCCCTGGCCCGGGCCCTGCGGCGGGCCGGCATGGAAGAGCTGCTCGAGCTGGATGATGAGGATGACGACGAGTTGCTTGCACTGATGCGATACAGGCTGCCGATGCTGACACTCTCCTCCTCACGACGAGTGCATGTCTCTGTGTCTGCGCTTCTCTAGGATTTAGGATTTAGTATGTTACGTCATGTCGTCTTATCGTGTATATACGTATGTATACAGTATACACTGTATACACTGTATGCCTGTATTGTCATTGTATGTATGTTATGAAGGCAGGTAGGTAGGTAGGTAGGTAGGTAGGTAGGTAGGTAGGTAGGTAGGTAGGTAGTAGATACGTGGGTAGGTAGTAGGTAGGTAGGTAAGTAGTTAGGTAAGTAGGCAGGCAGGTAGGGCAGGGTCCGGTATGCCGGTATGACACGGCATGTGTATATCATATCATGAATTGAATATTTACATGATCATTGATCATGTAATAATATAGTGACACTGTGTGAGGCATGTTCAATGTTCATGTACATTGTACATCAATTATATAAATATAAAAAATATATAGTTGAGTTTAATGATTCGTGATGCAGATACATTATCTACATACAATGAACATGTAATATTATATATATAAATATTATATTATATAATACACTATAACAGCTCTAGCATTTTTTTGTTGCGGAAGTCCATGAGAAAGGCCTCGTTCAAACGACTATCACCGACTGTCACCCTGCATCCCTCACTCACAGCAACCCTGGTCTACCCGCATGTCGCATGTAAATGACAATGTGCATGCTTGCATAGTGGTATATGTCGTGAATTGATGTGCCCTTGCGTGCTTGCTGCCAATCCTCCTCCCCTTCATGGTCCGTGTCCGGCTGCTTCGGCTGAGGCTCGTGCGGCAGCGGAACCTTAAAACATGACTCATGACTCGGCCAAGAAAAGGTTGTGCATGCACAATGCACATGTAACAATGCACATCTACATTTTACAGTCCACAGAGTCCACAGCCACGACACATCGGTCTTCTCGGTCACATCGCTCATCTTAGCCAGGGCCAACGGCTCCGGCAGTGGCTCCGTGCTTGCCGCCGCCTGTGGTGGAATGGCGAATGTCCGGCGAATGTATGAATCCATGAATCCATGCACTCTGACTTGTACAATGTGACCATGAAGTGACCATGCCGAACTTGTCATGATTCATGCATATATTCGGAGTCGCTCTGGATGATTGATGCGACACCAAAAAGACGACGCCTGACACACTCAAGGGGCTCAAGGGGCGGTGTGCTCGGGCAGGTCACAGAGCTGACAAATCTGACAAGAGAGGCGGCTTCGGCCTAGCCTTCTCGGACTTCTCGGCCCTCTCGGCAGCATCCGCTGCCGCTCCCTGTGTCCGCCGCTGTGGCGGCCGCGAGCGGCTGCGGCTGCGGCCGCAGTCGCCCCTGCGCTCCTGCTCATGGACACATGCGACAATTGACAAGCAAGACTCAGCAAGACCATGTGGTGACCATGCATGATCGTCACGTTGTGTCTGACTGACTACAAGTGACTACACACAGCCGCAGTCAATCACACTAAAGTTAAGAAAAGTAGAGTAGAGATGATGTAGTGATGTAGAGATGTGATGCATTCACAGACTCATCGCGGTTCGCGGTGATCAACATTTCAGACAACTTCCACTCACCAGTGCTCCTGAGGCGCCTCTTCGGCAAGGCCCACCAGCTGCTCCTTGAGCATGTCCAGCCGAGGGTCCGGCAGCAGGACGCCGCGGGCGCGATACTGCATCGTCGGGCGATGAAAGTTCGACGGCACCTTCGCCGACTCCTTGGATTTCAACTCAACCCACTCATGCGACTCACGCGGCCGGCTGAACGAGACTATGCTCGGACCATGCTCATGCTCATGCACATGCACTGAACACTGGAAAAGAACTGGACCATTGCAACACTGGACCAACCGACCTACCGACGTGGGGTGCATGAGGTGTCGGTGAGATCGACATCAAACAAGCGATTTGCTGACGAGTCGCAATCGCAGCATCTGCTTCCTGAGCCGCTTGCTGGCGGCGCAGACGGATGGCATCCGCCTGCCGCTCAGCGTTCTCCTGCCTGAAGTCTGGCGGTCCAGGCGGCATCTGCGGCAAAGGCCCATGCGGCTCGAAGGGCGACTCGGCCCATTCGGCTGGCCGTGGAGGCGCTGTCGGAATCGGCGGCACTGGCATGGACACGGGTGGAACAGGGCCTGGCATTGGCCCCATGGGCCCCATGGGCCCCATTGGCATCGGCATTGGTGGCGGGAAGGGGAATGAGGCCATAGGCACGGTGCGCGGGGGCGGACCGCCAGCGGCGGGGA